CCCCCCCCCCCCCCCACACACCTCCACCCTCTGGAAAATAGTCTTAACAACTGAGGCACGCAAAACAGTAGTACCTCCCCCCCAAACCACAATCCTCGATTGCCATGCGCTGCATCTCACCAAGGCCAGCACGCGGGGTAGGCCTACATCGCCCAGAACCGTGTCCGTCAGGAACGAGTACGCAACCGCGACATCGGCGCCTCCGAACACCAGCAGGACCGGGAGGTAGAGACGGCTGAGGAGGAAGACCGCGGCGTAGCAGGCGAAGGCCATCGTGCTGCCCGACAGCGGCCCGTACCCGAGGGCGGACATGCGCTCTCCTGAAGGTTGCGGGAAGATAAAAAAGGACTAGTTGGATTAGAATGAAACGCGGTAGGAAAGTTGGTCCGCAAGTGTGCCGAGCGGCCATACGAGCAGCAGCTTCAGAAGCACATACGCTTTCTTGACACATAGATAGGCATACAGTAGTATCCGATAATCAAGCGGCGGGTGTTGGTAGGTTGTTCGTGCACATCTACTACTACAGCCGTGAAAAGTAACGCCGAGGAGAAACAGACACCGTACAGCACCAATCACAAGCAGTGTACGACTTGGCCATTGACAGGATTACCCTACGTGAAATGAAAACAAGGCGGTACGGCGACCTACACTACGGCTTCTCCTACGATACACTGAACAGAAACACGCCACACACCGGGCAAAAAAAAAAGAAGCTAGCACCTCCTTGGTGACATCATGGACTGCAACAAAAAAAAAAAAAACATTGTCATGTCGACCAATCAAGTCGCCAGTTCGACGGTCACACACCATCCGAGCCAAATGCACACTTGCTGCTAGACCCAGAAAGCAACCGAAAAGCTTTTTCGTTTGCCGTCGTCCGTTGTAAGGCTGAGGTTCTTCCTTACCCGGAAATACGTTGGCCATCTCCAACATAAAGGAGAACGATCGGAAGCCGACGAACGCCGCCACTCCCACCGTGATCGCAACGAAGTACAGGCTCACCAGATCCGCCAGTACCTGGCGTCGACATGCATGGCACCATGCACGTGCGCCGCACACAGACCGACAGTTAGAAGAAGGATGCAGTTCGGCACAATTTAGCGGGGTTTGGCGCGGAACGCTGGATCGACATCGTTGTGGTAGTAGTTTCGCCGTCGTAGGGCATGGCAGTTCATGGTGTCTTGTTACCGTTGCCACCGCGGTACACCGTCTGCTCGGGGGTGGCGTCAGCCGACATTTGTCGTACTTTACATTTCGTCGCTGTAGGACACGGCGGTATCTGTCGTTCGCCGTCGTGCTTGCGTCGTTCGCCGTCGTTGTTGTGGCTGCCAAGCAAGACTTGCAACACATGCAGACTTGCAATTGTCTTCATTTTGGTTCGTTAAGGGTCGCTAGGCTCTTCGAGCCAAAACGCACGTCAGCTGTTCGGGCTTGGGGAACGTCACTGATGGCAGCTTGCAGCTGACTCGCACAACCTTGCATCACGCCTCGATGACGCTACTTCCATCCTCTGATAAGCCCGCTCCGGAGGCGCGCCTTGCAAACGATCTACTTCATATAAAGTATAATACTACGTTGTACGATATATATATATTTATATATATCTCACCTGGAGGAACACTCCCGTGAAGGGCGTCGGCGGCGCCATGGGGGTGCTGCTCCATCGACCAACCATCACACGTTCGTTCGTTGGTTGAGTTCCACCCAGTCCATTATTGGCGACCGTCCACATCGCGAGGTGTACGGTTGCGAGGGGTGCGGCGAGCGGGGAGGGGGGANGGGGGGGGGGGGGGGGGGGGGGGGGGGGGGGGGGGGGGGGGGGGGGGGGGGGGGGGGGGGGGGGCACGTGTGTCAATGCATGTCGCAGTCGCTAGACAATTGGCCTCGCATCCCTTTAATGCCGGCAAGGAGCGACATGCCGGGTTTTCGCCGGCCCAGGCTACTGGAGGGGGATTCCAGGACGTTGCTTTGACGTTCGAGAGATTTTGTCTCGCTCAGAGCAACACCAACGACGGCGGAAGTACGCCGCATGCGCAACGAGCAAAGCCGCCTCCTGCACATTGGCAAAAAAAAAAACACAGCAGTGCTTCTTCCTCGCTCTCTCGGTAGGAATCCAGCCGAAACCTTGAACAACGCCCTCTCCAACGCGGAACATACCAGACCATCAGAACCCCACACCACTTCGACAGAAAAACACTCCTCTCTTACCCGCTACCGCCCGCTGCTTCTAGAACCGCCAGCAACAAAAACACCCAGGAGACGGAAAATGTGCGTGTGTTTTTCATTCAAGTTCAAGAGGATCTCTCTCTACCGCCACCACCGACGCCTCTCTCGCGAAGCAGGACCCAACCCGACAACAAGAAAAAGACCCTTCGGTCTCGAACCGGCACTAATCCCGCCCCACCTGTTCCGCCGCGTCGGGTGCGCCGCCGTCGCCAGCGCTCCGACGACTCTGCCGTTCCCCACTTGGGCCTCGGGGGCCATGTAGGCGCTCGGCAACAGCACAGTCCCGCTCCCGATTGTCACGCCGGAGCCGAAAACCACGCGGTTTCCGACAATCTTCACAAGCACCAATCAGGAGGGCGGTGGCGTACAGGACTTGTGAAGCGGGGAACAAATCGGCCGTGCGCAGTCGGCGCCATATTTTCGTGCAACCTGGTGAGTTTTAGCTGCTGGGTTGCGGCGAGGCATGCCCCCGTATCCAGGTAACTGGTTTCTTGTGGAGGGAAAAAAAATGACAAACAGTCCATTCTGAATACATAGTCATATCATAGGCCGCCGTGAGCGCAAAGAAGAAGACTCGGCCCCCTGTCAGATTAAGACGATTTCTTCAACCTGTCGGGCTCGTCCGCACGTCAACTCTGATCGACTGGTTTTCTTTTCTGCGTGGACGCAGGCAGAGGGTCTCTTCGTGCTGACCCCCCCCCCCGCCGCGGGCTCCA